AAAAAAAAAAAAAAAAGTAAAATACCCGAGTTTAGCCGTCAGTACCAAAACAAAAACAAGATAGAAAGCTGAGAAATGAGCATGAATAAAGATAATAATAATTATAAATAAGGTAAACATATCAAWTATCTTTAAATCCATAAATCAATACTAAAAAGCAAAATTAATTGGTCAACACTAAAGGATGCTAATGAACCAACTCACTGTTATGAAAACTGGTAAATGTATAAAAAATTGGTCATAAAATAATCCTTCTATTATTACAATCACATAAACATTATTGACATCTGGGCCACAGAATTACTGTAATTATGTTCTCTTCCTCGTAACTCTTTTCCAGATTTAATAATCATTGTTTTTTGTTTGCTCATTTTTCATGTACTTATCAATTCATCTCCAAATTCTGCATAGTAAGTATAAATTAAATTACTACAATTAAAAAAAAATCAGGTATTCTATTCATTCCACTTCCCAGAATTCTGGGCCTCCTGCTATCTTAACTACTGTTCTGTAAACTTTCCACACTCCAAGTTGCTTTAGAATCCTTCTTCATTCACCATCAGCCACAATTCCTTTTCTTCAGCCCTTCTCTGGGGATAGGTCGCACTCTCCTCCCCCTTTTCTTAGCTTACTCGCATTTCTGTAAGGTACATAATGTAAGTTTCTCAAGAAAGGGAGCATGGGAGGAGATAAAATTTGAGACCTATGGTCTGAAATATTTGCCTTTCCAGTCTCATAATTGATTGGGTACAAAATTTAAGGTGGGAAGCTATTTTCCCTAGATTTTTCAGAGTGTTGTTTTCCTGGCTTTCAAAATTGCTACTGAGAAATCCCTGGCTATTCTGATTCTTGAGGCTTTGAATGAAGTCTGTTTTCTTTCTCTGAAAGCTTCTAGATTTCTTTTTTTATCCCAAGATTTGTACAAATATATTTAATAATGTGAAGAGATGTGGGTTTGGTCTGATTTACAGTGTTAGGCACTGAATGGACTACTTTAGCCTAGAAATCATGTCCTAGAAAAAAAATTTTAAACTATTTCACTGATCATTTTTTCTCCACAATTATTTTTCTRTTCTCTTTTTCTGAWATTCCAATTATTTGGATATTATGCTTCCTGGACTGGTCCACTTAATTTTCTTTTGTGTTCTTTTCTATTTTACRTCGCTTTGCTCCACTTAACAAGAAATTTCCAGAACTCAAACTCTTTCTACTYCATATTACACTTCTGCTCTTATTTTTTAACTTCAAAAGGCTATTTCTGTGGTTCTATGAATGTTCTTTTTTAAACAGGTATTTTTATTTGATAGATGAAATGTCTGATCTCTTTGAAATATTAATGCCTGCATTTAAATGTTCTTTTCTCTTTATATTACTCCCATTTACTCTATCCAAATAGCTTTTCCCCTAAATGTTGGCTTTGGTCTTTTTCTTTTAGGTCTAAAGCTTTATTCTGAGGTTGGTGCTATAGCACAGTGGTAGAGCTCATGCTTATGAGCAGGCACAAAGCCCTGGGTTTGATCTGCAGTACAACCAAAAAAATAATAAAACTCTCTTCTTCAAATGTCTGTTGTTTCATGTATAACTAATTAAAACACATTTTTAAAAAAATGTCTGTTGTTGGTTATTAATCTTAAAATTTTTTATATGCTTATTTCTAAAATAAGTTCAACAAACTAGAAATTATTACCCACCCCCTACCTTTTACTGATCCTTCTAGTGATTTCCTCCATCATGGAGAGATTTCTACATTAGAATTATGTGTACTSTGTAAATTGCTAATCAAACTAAAAATTTCTCTGGGATGGAGAATGGGACTTTTTATCACTCSGAATACAAAGCCTAGCACACAATAGGGACTCAATAATTGTTAGTTGAACTGAACTACTAAAGACTAGAATGCCTTATTTCTCACATATAAAAAACCCCAGTATTCAAGAGTTAGATATAATCTCAATTTCCAATTCACTCAGAATTTATCCTGACAACATTGGGGGAGAAAAGGACATCAATCATAAAATTTAGACAGTACTTTATCATTTATAGAGGTGTTTTCTAATATCTCAATATTATAGGTACTTAAGCAGCTACTGTTACTCAGTTAAAAAAAAAATAAGTTACTATATTCAAAATACTTGGCCACATACCTGAAAACTAACCATATCCCAAAATCCATCCAGATCTGCACAGGTAGTTTCCATTTCACCTCGTTTATATTCACAATCATTCACCAGTCCTTCAAATTGTTTGAATCTTTCCTTAATAAGGAGTCTTGTTTGACCAACTGCTGTGCGAATAAGATCTTTAGCTAAAAGAGAAAAGTGTTTTAAACGTTAAAGCACAAAATAGCACTTTTACAGCAAGTCAACCAACTGATAAGACTCCACTCCAAATATTCTAGGGCTTACAAAATAAAAATTAAAAAAAAAAAAAAAAAGTTTGTGGTACTGTGGGTTGAACCCAGTGGTGCTTTATCATTGAACTACATCCTCAGATCTTTTTATTTTTTATTTTGAAACACGGCCTTGGCTAAGTTGCTTGGGACTTGCTAAATTGCTGAGGGTACCCTCCAACTTGAAATCCTTTTGCCTTTGCCTCCTATTTCACTGGGATTACAGGTGTGTACCACTACACCTGGCCAAAATTCTAAAAAAAAAAAAAAAAAAAAAAAAAAAAAGTTTTTATCACAAATTTCACCATACGAATACTGAGCATTAACTATTTCCTTTGATTTCTATTAACAACTGGTAATGTTCACTATCATACATATATTACTACATAATAAAAGACATTCTACTTCTTTTTATATTTTACAATATTTCAACCTCAAATAGCTCATTGTACCTAAGTATCTAAGAAGGATTGCATTCTGAGAGCCTACATATTTTTTTTTTTCTTAAACACCTTTACCAAATAAATGAGAAACTTTTCAGAAAAAAACTTTCAATATTAATATAGGTAACTTTTATTCTGAAAATATTTTTATATAATTTAACAATACCAGATACTGACATCACCTATAAAATCATATAGAAATTTCAACAAAATACACAAAAGTCTTATACTACTTTAGCAGAGAAATACTGGGAAATATAGGTTTAGAAATGAAAAATTCTTGCTATTTTGAATAACAGTGAAACTGTAAAGTTGTACAACATTAGATTTTTATGTTTCAGATGGATGTAATTATATTATAAGAAAYAAAGATAAGATCATCAAAAAACAAAAGTTTTCTCACCATCATCTGGAATGTCCAATTCAAGCTTCCT